AAAATGAGACTCAGGCATGCCTGTGCGCTTCTGGCCCACAGATCAGGACACCTGAGTCCTGCTGCCATCCCTCACGTGGTGTGACCATCACCAGGTCACCTCCCCTCGCTGCTCCTCCTTCCTCACCCTCTTTGTCTGCCTTCCCTATTTAGGCTGTAAGCTCTTTCAAGCAGGGTCTCCCTCTCCCCTTTTGTACAATGCTTAGGCCCACGGGCATAAGCCCCTGTACCATAACCATTAATAATAACCCAAAGGGTAAATCGGTACTGCCCCATTAACTGCAAGATGCCCTGCTGATTTGAATCCCACTTTGCACCGTCTATAGTTTTGCTGGCTGGGGTGCGCTTCAGCAAAGATAACACGCAAAGAGGGGATTGTTTTGTTTCTGTATCATTATTTGTGCTCCTTTTGCTTCTTTATGAGATACTTCCATGTGAGAAAATCAAACTGCAAGGATTTTTCTTCCTTTTTCGGGGATATGTTGGAACCATTATAAGACCCTGCTATTTGCTTGAGCTTTTAAGATCGCATGTTCTTTGTTGTGATACCAGGATACTTTCTAGCAACTTTCTCAGGGCAGAAACCCATTATTTATTTAGTGAGGAACACTAGCTTTGCTCAGTCCCTGGCAGCTCATAACGACTAGGTGGAGCAGTAACAATACCGTAACAGAGGATCAAACATAACGAAAAGCATCAGAACAGATGGGTCAAGGAGGATGCATTTGGCCCCACTGTGTGCACTGAAGTAATGAGACTGCACCAAAGGCTTTCCTGAAGCGACAGCTGGATTTTGCTAGAGAAGAACTGGGTCAATAGCTGTCATGAGCTACACAAGACAGGGAACCTGGAGCTGAAACTGTACATGGAGAGTATGTAAAAACCAGGACCGTGGGCTGCAGTGTACAAAGGAGAGTAGCAGAGCCGGGGTGCAGGCTCTGGGTCGAACTGCCCGAGTCCATTTACAGCGAACAGGTCTCCCCAGAAGTGACTAGCTGAGATGGCAAACTCAGAAGCTCTTCATGGTGCCTACTGCAGGCAGTTAAATATTATAATGGACTTTCTGAATGTAAAAAAGGAAAAAAGAGAGAGATGGGTTCTTGCTTTCAGCGACGTCATCTACGTCTGTTACATAAAAGTGACAATGAACAAAATCTATGTCATGTGTTGGCTTGTGCTGCTGATTTTTCCCCCTATACATCTCAGACGTATGTCCAGCTCCAGATGAGAGGTATCTTCCTGGTAGGATATGTTTGCTCCATAGATGGCATTTGCTATGCAGGCTCTCAGCTAAATCCTTTTGAAATGCATGGTGCAGAGGTGAGGCTGCAGGGCTGGGAGTCAGCCATCCTGGGGCCAGATAGCCCTGGAGCTGGTTGGAGCTGGCTCCCCGAGCCAGGATGAACCCTCCCTGGAGGTGTAGCTACTTCTAACCCCAGCAGTTCCCACCATCCATCTGTAAAACCCGCCTGTCCGGGACAATGCGTTCTCTGAACACGCACCTGCGCGCATGCATGCTAGTCCAGTTTAATGCTTTAAGCTTAAAACCAGGCTGACCTAGCGCCATCCCCACATCCCTGTGCTCCTCCTGCTCCGTTTCCTCCCATGCCTTGGCAGCGGGGTGCTGGCTTGCTTATAGCAGGTGCTCGCCTGTCCCTTGAGCCCATGCTCCTGGATCCATCCTCCTCAGAGCTAACAGCTCTACAGCGTCAGCCTGCCCCCAGACCGCTCCAGGGTGTCGGTCCTGGTGCCTCGCTGGGAATGGGAGGCAGGAGGCATATTCGGGGAGAAATCTGTCCCACACGGACACACAGCAAAGAGGCAGGGAGAAATCAGGCAGCAGTGAGTGCGGTGCACAGGATGTGCAGCTTGCGTAACTGCAAAGCTGGCACAGCTGAGGCTTTGGACTCTCCCTCTACCCCTGCAGATGGGATTTGAAGCAGTTTTGGCCCTGCTCCAGGGGCAGAGCCGGACGAGGTTCCCTCCAGGAAGCGGTGGATGGGACAGCAGAGGCAGGGTGCGGAGGGGTGCGGAGGGCCCCACGGGCACCTTCCCCTGATGTCCCCACTTGGCCCTTCTGACCCAGCCAGCATTTAAAATGAAATCAAAGCCTTCTAAGCAGACAACAGGCTGAAGCGATGCTGCATGATGGCACAGCGTGCCAGGCCACGCGAGATGGCAAGCAAGAGAGGATGCTCTTCGTTCTTCCCTGTGCAAAAATACTGAGCTCTTTTGTGTGCTTTACAGAGCTTTCCACCGGCCTTGGAGCAGAGCAGGCCTCCGGACTCACAGGGGGAGTCCTGAACCAGGGCGGAAAAAAGACGAGCAAAAGCTCCAGAATGGCCGGTGGGGTATGAGGCACAGGTCAGCAGGAGAGCCGCGGTGCTGGAGAGGGGAGAAGCAGCTGGACAGGGGGGAGGAGGAGGAGGAGGAGGAGGAGGAAGACATTACGGTCACCCCCATTGCTGGAGGACAAGGGAGCAAGTCAGTGCCTCTCTGTGGCATACGTGCAAGTTAATTGAATATTTTAAAGAAAGGTCAAGAGAATTAAAGAAGAAAAATAGTTTCATCAGAATAACTTTTTCCTATAAAAATAATTTAAGTGAAAATGTTTAACCAGTCCTAATTTCAAGAATTCCCCCCACCAAACTCCATTCTAAGTGAATTCTCCGTCACACTTTGATACAGATTGTTTAACATGGGAAAGGATGTCCAAAAAGTCTTCACTAAATTTCCGCTGAGCTTTGTCCTAATGCCTGAGGGGTATCAGTCAATGACACTGTCAGGATGGGTTAGACTCAGAATTAATAACTCAGCGGTGAGGGGTCATTCATTTAGTAACACTCTGATCCAGCCAGTCTGGCTTTTCCTGAGTATTACTACATGAATAACAATAAAAAGCCTGATTCAATTATTGCAATGTAGCACATACATTAGTTTAACAAAAGCCATGTACCAATAGAAATATTCCTGAACTTCACATAACATCTACCTAGGGTCTAGAGGCAGTTAAAACTAAAATGATTCTCTAAAAGCAGTTATCAGATGAAAGCCATGTGTATGTTCAACCAGACTTTCCCTCCTTATTTTACCCCACACCTCTGGGAAGCTTTTGGCTGAGCTATAGTTAAGACCATGTAGTTTGAAACAGGAGCCTCAGAGCTAACAGACCTCAAACGTCAATAAATTTTGCGCCTTTTCTTTTTTTTTTTTTTTTTTGCATCCCGTCTGCTTTTCTACGGTCTGCTGCCAGCACCTTGTGAATCCTGTGGGCTATGGTGATGTACCATGTGAGTGGGTGGTGTTGAGTTTCAGGTCTTGCTTCTTGGACTCCTCGGCTGCCACGGTGGCCAAGCGAAGCAGGTCTTCTCTTTCTGGGCTGAGCGGGACCTCCCAGGGGAGATCCTCTCTGGGCTTCTTCGGCCACAATCAGACAACAGTCCTTCATGCGTTTTACTATTATCATTTCATCTGTCTCTAAATCCCCCTGGGGATGAGGCTCTGCTGATCCTGGGAGGGGTTTCAATTCGGTTTTGCTAACGCTTGCGGTGGTGCAGGCTGCAGCACGGGAAAGGCTGTGCAGGGCTCATCGCTGCTAAGCACTTCGGCTCTTCCCGTCCGCACCAGGGCTGCTGCAGAAGGTTTATCTCAGAGGCTGGGCGAGACTGTCGCAAGCGTGGTTTTACCTTGTATGGTGATCGCTGCAGGAAAGGGTCATAGGAGTCGGTCAAATCTGCAAGCGTGTTTATTTTCCTCTTGTCACAACAGGCTAGCAATTAGGACTGCTACACTTTATCTGCCCTCACCACATCCAAGTTCCAGGTAAAACTTGTTCTTGAGATATAGCCTGTTCAATCATTATTTTTATCTCTCGGTGTTATAGTTTTACTAAGTTGCTAATCATTAAGAAAATTCAGAAGACCAAGACATGCTTATTAGCTAAATGGTCATTGCACTTTAGGTAGCATGCAAAACATCTTGCCATAGTGTGGTTAGCTAATAATGCAATATAATTAATAATCCCTGAGAAAGCATCTTGTCAGCAAGAGCTTTGGTGGTGTTTTCCTAATGTGCTGAGATGATTGCCATTAGGACTTTTCTGTTGTGTCAGACGAACGGCTAACAACATCCACTTCCCCACTTTCTAAGCGTAATTTTAAAATTAGTTTGACTTCCTTAATCCAATAAACTCGGGACATTTGGCTCCATTAATGATTTCCATACTAATTTATCATAGATTTTTCTGCCTCACTTCAACTTGTTTTTCATCATTTCCTTGAGGAGAGGTAACCTCCATCTGCTAAGGCAGAGAGCTGATGAGGATGAAGCTGAACCAAGTTATACTCAAGCATATATAATCCCTTACATATATGAAGTTATATATTCGAGGACCACCTCTTTGAGGTGTGGGGCATTTTCTGAGGCTGAATGTCCTTGTATTTCATTGCAGTCAACGGGAGCTGAGGAATTACGAGGCATCAGGACATCAGGCCTGGGTCAGCAATGCACCTAAGCACGAGGTTTAATTTAAGGCAACTGAGCCTATGCTCAGATGCCTCCCTAAATCCTAGAGCAATGCTGACAAATTTTACCCAGAGGCATAGCCTGAATAACTCTGCTGATAGGGGAGGAACCTCCTCCCCAGGAGGCGGCCGGGTAGCAACAAATCCTGGCTGTAGATCAGTGCTCCTTCAGTTTTACTGGATGTAGATATAAATACAGATCAGGCACGTTGGCAGTATCTTGCCCCCCCACCCCGCCCCGTACTCTGCACAGGGAGAGAGCAGCGCTCACAGTGTTGAAAGGCATCAGGGCCTCGGAGGCCACGGGCCAGGGACCACTGCTCTAGCACCATCGCAGCCTCAGGAAGGAGGGAACAACCAGAGTTGCTCTGGGTTTTCCATCTTGATGGTGTTTTCAACCAGCTCAGCCTCCCTGGCACTGTCGCACCCCTTCCATTAACTCCAGCGTGCGCTCTGGGTAATTCACTGGGAGCGCAGATCCTGATCTGGATCATGCGTGTCCAGCTGGGCCACTGTGGAGACCACAGAAGAAGCAAGGGCGACTGCGCAACAGGCAGAGGCAGCACTGGAAGAGGTTTTCAGCATCCCTGGACATGCAGCCCCGAATAATCGTAGGAACTACCCAGGATCCGGGGAATGCAGCTCCCGAAGCTGATGCAAACGTGGGATGAGTCACGGCCACTGCATCAGTTCTTCATGAGAAGCATGGACGGCAGGATTAAAGCAGTGCCTGGAGCAGAGCGGGATGCCTGCGGCAAGGTCACAGCACAGGCTCTTTAGTCTGGCTCACGCTACACAGAGAGATTGTGGGGGGATCTCAGAGGGTCCACCAAGCACAGCGTCATCCCATGCAGGGGTAGATCATCGGTCGCCTGCCTCTTACATGTGCACAACTCAAGGCTGTGCCCAGAAACCGGGGCTGTTCAGTGAACCCTCGGCCCCAGCGATCAGGACATATCTGCGAGATCTCAAGGTAAGAGAGGTCAGCGATTAAAACAGCCCCTTGCTAAAGTCAGAACAGGGTTGTGTTTACGTTGCTTTGCCCATGACGGGTTATTTCTAATCTTGTGACCCAAGCCCTGCCAAAGGCACCTTCTCTTTACTTTACTGAGCAGCTTACCTAGCGCTGAGGGGCGCAAGGGTGGGTAACTTGCTCGGCGACGCTCTGTGACTGTCCCTCTCCCAGCCAGCCTGCACGGCTTTCCTCCAGCAACCTCTTGCCGTCCTGGGGGCTCCCAGACCCTGGAAGCAAGGGCGTATGTTTACCCCCAAGCTGGCTCAGATTCATACTGCCAAGGCTAGGCTTTGACAAGGTGTTTTAGGGCATCAGAAATTTATCCGGAACATAACTGAGTTAGGGATACAACTTCCAAAAGCTGCTCTCTAGCCCCTGGTCATTTTTGCAATCCAATTTATATAAAGAACTTCCACAGGAGAGCCAAAGCTTGGTAGCATACTGAGTCTCCCAGAAAGAAAAGAAATGTGTGTGAGCCGGCCGTGTAACATTCAGAGCACCCATGAACAGAAGGAAAGGAAATACATTTAGGTAGGAAGGGCAATGGTATTTGCAAACATGCTTTGAAATCGAATTGCTATTGTTGTGTAGAAAAGTGGCACAATCGCATTTTATGAAACACATTTTGGAAAACAACTGTTGATCCATACAAAGGAATGATGCCTGCAAGCTGTGACTGATGAAGCTGATTTACAATTTTTTATTGAATCTCTGATAAAAGTTGCCTTGGAATATTTGTTTTATGTGTCTCAGAAAAACACATTATCTACAGTTCTACCTCAGCAAAGAGATTTGATTTTTGTACAGAACTCTCAAGTCATCCAAAAGGAATGTGTTAATTGCAAAAATCAACCAAATCTATAAACTGCCACTCGAGAAAAGAAAATATCATTAGTGCTCATTAGTCCGCTCCGGTTCAGGGTCAGAACAGTTGGTAACTCTCTCACAAAGCATTTTATCACAGCATAAAATGCCCCAGAGCACGTTCAGCTAGTCATACACTGGCAGGTAAACAAACGCGCAGCGCACGTGTAAAAACACTTAACAAAATGACCCAGACTCTGCTTATCAACAGAGACAGAAGGAGAAAAATGGGCAGTTCCTCAGGGCAACGTGGATGAGGCAGCATCTGCCACAAAGCTTCCAGCGGAAGGCAGTCTCCATCTTGGCATGCTGGAGCATTTATAAAGGAGGCCCAGCGTAAACGAAAGCCAAACCTACCCCCTCGGGTACACGCAGCGCAAATATTGAGTGGGATCCATGTAATCATGGGCTGGACCACGTGGAAACATATCACACACCAATGTGAGTGAGACAAAAGATCCTACAGGAACCACCAATGAACCATTTAAAAATATGAAGTTCCAACTGATTCCCTTTGCAGTCCCACTGGGACAGAGGAGGTAAAACTCATCACTGCATTCGGGAACGTCTTCCCCCCGGACAGGAAAGCAGGATTGATGCCCAAGGCCAACGAAGGCCTTGCCAGGAACATTGCTGATTGTGGGTAGGACACCTTATGTAGAGACATCTGAGTCTTATTTTAATTAATTAAAGCAAGCTTTCATCATCGCTTCCAGACAGTTTAATGTCCTTCTGACTGACTGATCACCCGGCGCTTGCAAAATGCTCCTTCCTGATTATTTTCTGACAGCAAAGGAGAAATGTTAGGCTGAAAAATGACCTTTGCGGGGACAGTTAAACATGTTTTGTGAAAGAAGTCTTACCACGCCAGACTTTGGAAACAGCTGATTGGTTTAAAACCGACTTTCGTCTTTTGAAAAGCTATCTGACTGCCCGCCAGCAGAAACGTGCTGCCAGAAAAGCCACGGCACCAACTGATAGAAACAGAGAGGCCAAAACAAGCACGCGCGCCCCTACGGGCTGTCGAGGCAGGCCCTGCACCCGGCGGAGCACCCCGGCTTTTCAAAAAACGCAAGGCAACGCACAGCCAGAAACCTGCTCTTTGCTGGAACTGCCAGCACGCCGGAAAGCAGCCGGCCCCCCCCCGGCTGCCTGTCCTGCATCGGCATTGCACGCCCGTGGCTTTTCGGTGCGAAAGAAATAGTGGAGAAAAACAAGCCTGAGGATCCCTCGGCCTCAGCCATGATAACGCCACTGTTATCACCCTTACAAAACCCTGAGGGCTGCCCGCTGCTTCTAAGGACGAGAGCGGAGATGCCGTGGCGGGGGTTGCCAG